TTACTGTGGCTCTGCCGAGAGAAGGGAACGTCATCCCTGCATCCCCTGCCCTGCAGCAGCCATCCTCCCCCTGCCATGGCAGGGCAGGCTGAGCAGCCAGAGCCCCGGGAAGGCAGCAGCCTGCTGAAGCACCAAGGATAGCAAATGGACACGAAATAAAGCCGTGTGTGTGCCGCCAGGCGTGCTGCTCCTCATGGCACACACACTTCATAGTGCCACAGAATCAGTTTCTTTCCCCCTCTCCTAATAAGAGGTGCTGCCACTTCACAGCCACTCTTTGAGCCCAGGTTGCCGGCACCCATCCTTCGGCTGTCAGGAAGGGGCTGAGCCCAGATGCAGCTCAGCAGCCTCAGCATCCCTCCTGCTGCTTCACTGCCAGCAGCCCTTTGCAGATAACAGCCTGGTCCCCAGCAAGGATGGGGGCTGTTGGGGATGGGTGCTCCCAGTGGTGGTGGCCAGGTGCCTGCACAAGCAAAGGGTGAGGAGCAGGAGGACCGGGGGAACCCTGGGAGTGCAGAGCCCAGGGTGAGTTGGAAGGGTGAGCCAAACACCCCTGCCCACCTCGTTTCCATCACTTTGGTGGACAAGTTGACTTGAGGAATCCCCACTGGTGCCCAGACACCAATCCCACCCATTCCTGCTTTGTAAGACATCAGAGATCAGATGAGGTTCCAGTGATGGTCCTTGTAGAGCAGAGCTGAGGTAAGGCAAACATGAGGTGCTCCCCTCTCATCCCATCACCACCACACCACAGGAAGGAGCAAGGCTGGCTCTGGGTGGAACCTGCTTCTGCGGTGAAGATCTGCTTAAACACTAAACAAGTGTCCTCTCTTCCCTCAATTTTGCAAGGATGTCACCTCCTGAGGCCCCTAACTCACCGTTCCTGGCATGTCTGCCACATCTCACATATATGGGCTGCCTCTAAGGAAGAAGTGGCCAAGCTGCTGTCATCAGTATTGAACAGGAGATGCTATTCCTCCACCCTGACATACCCATAAATCTCCTGATCAGGTTTCTAAAGACAGGCAATAACCCACTGAAGAAAGCAGATGCACTTGGGTTTCTCCTCCCCACCCTCCTGGAAGGAAGGCAGCCCCGGCAGCGGCCACATCCCCGAGGCTCAGCATCTCTGAGGAGCAGTGATCAAAGCCACCCCTCTCCCATCACGGAAGGCTCCGGATGTCAGCTCCATGACACCCCGCCTACCCATCCTGCCGGAGAGACTGTGCATTCATCAGGCATCTCCAGAGAGGCACATGGCAATCTGGAAGGCCCAGAGATGCCAGACTGCTAATGTGCTAGTGAAGAGATGTCAGTGAATATTACGAACACCCCAATGGATGACAGGCAGGCCAAGGGAGGAAAGACCTGGAAGGAATCAGCCAAAAAAAAATGGAGGGCGAGAGCAGGCACTTGGGAAATTCACAGAGGAATGGCACTGCCTTCTTCCTTATTTCAAGAGGGGGAATGCTGCTGGGGCAGATTCAATTGCACTGAATCAGGTACAGAGGGTCTTGCATTCCTCTTCTCCTGTCCAGTACTGCAGTGCTAGATGCTGCTAACTGTGACCTACAGGAGACCAAAAATACAAGGCACAAATCCTGCTTGTGCACTCTTCCTCCAAGACCAACACAGCCAGCAGGGATCGAACATCTGCAACCCATCTTTATCTGATACTGCAGCAGGAGTGTCCCTTCCCCAGGGCAGCATCACTCCATCACCAGCCTGTCAGTCATGCCACGGACAGCCCCTGGGCACAAGAAAGCACACTGAAGTCGGCACGGAGAGGCCAAGCATCCTCACATCCTGAAGCCCTCGGCTTGCCCAGCCTTCCCTTTGACTCCTCCAATATAGCAGCAGGCACGGGGGAAGCAGAGCCAGCCCTGAGCTACCGGCTGCCCAGCAGGTCCACACAGCACGGTCACGCCAGCCAGCTCTAGCTGTGCCCAAGCCAGAGCAGCATCTAGGTCAGGCTCAGAAGACAACACAAAGCAGCTGAGCAGCCCTCAGCTGGCATTGGGGGATGCTGACACAGTAACTGTACCACAACAGCTCAGCCCAGCACAGCCCTGATCCTTCTCTGTGTCATGGGAGAGCTGCCTATGGAAAAATATGGAGAAAAACCCTATAGGGAACAACTTTCAGATGGCTCCTGAAGTGCAACACCCGAACCTGACACCTCCTCAGGAAAAGGGTCAGCTGTCTGCCTGCTGCCCATCAGCTTTCAGACCTGCTGGCTGGCAAAGGACAGCATGGGTCCAGCCTACAGCATCCAACACCCTCCCGCCTCCCTGCAACTACTGGTCACAGATGGAGGGACTGAACCAGCTCTCTGGCACAGGTCATGATGGATACACACAGCAATGATCTTCCTTACCCACGTGGGTATCCAGAGCCCTGCAAAACTCTGCGGGCATCTGCCCAGCCCACCACATAATAAACAACATGGGGTACAGAAGGGTCTTCCAGGGATATGAATCCTCTCCATAAAATACATCAGAAGAGCCTGACAGGCACAGTCTCACCAGAGACTTCCCTGGCTACAAGTCCCACAAGTGATGACTTTCACTGTGGGTAACATGGAAACACTTCAAGCCTCTGACTTAAGGGATAACCAGCTCTTCATGCTGTTCCTAACACTTATCACTGACTCAGAGTGGAGTCAAACCCTGACTTTAATCAGCATTCCATGTTATTAATAGAGCCATGCACAAAACCTGGCAGCAGAAGAAGCCCAGGCCAGTAGAAGCATCATTTATCTGCCACCGTCAAAGCAGCTCTACCCACCTGCCTCCCACCAGCACAGCACCCCCCCCAGCAAAGCCCACCTTCCTTTCCCTTTGTACCACAGCCCTCCCTTGAAGAGACACACACAGGGGGGCTCGGAGCTGCTGAATCTGTGTTTTATTGAGCCCACCTCACATTTCTTCCTCTGGGCAGGCACCATGCTGCTGCCCCCAGCCAGCAGCTCAGATCCCCACTGTGGTCCAGAGCTGCATCTTCAGAGGACACCACCGTGATGGCAAAGCCTGCAGAGACCGGGAGAAGCCAGGCAGGCTGGGGGAGGGGAGCCAGAGCATCCTAGAGGGCATCTTTGCCTCCTCCCAGGCGGCAGCAGACTAAACCCAGAGCAGCATGGCGAGGGCGAGCAGCCTCTGGCCAGCACCGGACACCCCCTGCCCTGGCACTGCCCATCCTTCCCGGGCAAGTGTGTGCTGCATTGTTGGTGGAAACAAAGGAGCGGCTTGTGTCTCCCGAAGAGAAAGGAAGTCGGAGGCAAAATCATCCCGCAGCACTGGGTATATGCAGATTAAGCTGCAGAAGGTTGCATCAATGTAGCATTTTCCAGACATCAGTTAATCCCCCCCGGCCATGCTCTGCGTCTCGCTGGATGAGGCGGGTTGTGTCTCACCTGCAGCCACAAAGGCAACGGGTGCCCAGTGACAAACCTGACACCCCTGACCCGACACTCCTGTGAGGCCGGGCAAGTGAAACACAAGCCGTGCGCCCACCAGCACACCCGTGGGCATCGCTTTGGCAGGGAACTCGGTCTATTCTTATCAAGGAAAAATGAGGACACTGGGATTCCCACTAGCTGTCTGGGGATCGAGCTATGGATCGACAGGCTGTTGGTCTCTGCACGGATGTCTGGCTAGGATGAGTGGAAGGGAGAAACACACTTTTGCTGTTTGCCCTTCACTGATGCATCCTCTGCTGCCCTGCCCCCATCACCTCCAAGATAGCCCAAGGGAAGGTTGCTGCTCGGCTGCCTCCCCCATCTCTTGCTGGGGTGCCCTGCTTGATCTCCATGATGGACCCCCAGTCACACACGGGCCGCCTGGGGCTCTTCCCAGCTGTAGTGTGATGCTGGCAGGCCTCAGTTTGCCATGGCTGTTCCCTAGACCCCAGGTTTCAGCAATCACACCCTTGCTCCTCTGGCCTCGCCTCTGCTTAACCCCGAACATCAGCAGGAGCTTCGGGGCTGGATTCCAGGTTTAGAAAGGCATCACCGGGCCATCCAACCTCTAAAGGCTTTTCCCAGCAGCTCCCAGCACCTGGCGAGAGCCCCCTTCCTGCCTGATGGAGACACTGATAACGTCGGGCTTCACACAGACCCTGCTGGTCCAGCAGCTAGGACCAGACCCGCAGGCTCCCCGGGTCTGGAGCTGTAACACGGCGACCCAGAGGACGCCCGTCGGGGACACAAATCCCCCCTTCTGCTCCCATTTCTGCCACATCATTTTCCCTCCACGGGCTGCCCCGGCGCGCAGGAGCCGGCGGCTCCACCTCCCGCGCCGCGCACCGGGCGGACCCTCGGGCAGGGGCTGGCGGGGCGGGCAGGGCACCGGGGATGCCGCCCGCCGCCTTCCCGAGACCGGCACCTCCGAGCAGGTGACCCCCACCGGGTCCCTCCCGGCACGCAGCTCCCGCCGCCGCCGCGGGTGTGCTGGGTGCGAGTCGCTCACCTTCTCTACGTTCTCCACGGTGAAGTCGAGGCCCTGCGGCGGCGGCGCCTCCGCCCTCCGCTCCATGGCTGCGGCGGCGCTCAGGAGGCAGCGGCGGCGGGCGGGCGACAGCGCACGGGCAGCCGCATCGCGGCGGGACCCGCCTCCCCTCCCCGACGAGGGCGGCGGCACCGGCGCAGCTCGGCACCGGCGCGGCGCCACTGGGCTGGGCTCGGCGGGCAGCGGCGGTCGGGCCGGGAAGCGCCCGAGGGACGCCCCGAGCGGCACCACCACTGCCCCTCTTCACTCCGGCACCGCCTCGCCCCGCTGCCCCGCAGGCGCCACCGGGCAGCCCGGGCCCTGCCTCGGCGCCGCGCCGCACGCCGGGAGCGGTAGTCCCGGCACACGCGCGCCCCCTGCCGGGCACCGGCACCAAGCACCGCCCCGGCTCCCCGCGCGTGGTGCGGTGCGGGCAGCGGGGGCCCCGCTCAGCAGCGCCTCCAGCGGCCGGCCCGCGGGCATCCCCGTCCGGCCCCAGCGCAGCACGGGCAGACGCAGGGGCTGGACGCGCGGCCCATCGCTTTATTGCTACCGGAAAAGGCGGCTGTACAAAAATAGAGTTTATCCCTCCCATTTTACAAATAGTAGAAAACAAAACGGGGGCTGGGGGCGCGGAGCCGGGGCGCTGCCCGGGGCTTCGCAGCAGCGCTGGGGTTAAATTACACCCGGCCCCCGGGGGCCCAAAGTCATAAATAGGAGCTGCTGCTCGAGAACAATAAATAAATAATTTAGAGTAATAAATAGTTTAGTGCTGCAGCACGGTGGGGGGTCCCTGCCGCCCCCCCGGGAGCCGATGGGTGTCTGTGAAGCACATGGGGTGCAGATCCCCCACCCCGCTGCACCCCTGTCCTCAGGGATGCCTCCTCCCTGCAGGGCAGCTCCAGCCGCCGCCACTCCCAGGGTGCCCGAGGGGACAGGGAGGTTTTGTCGTCTTTCTGTCCCACCCTGAAGCTTGGGTGATGCCTGTCCCCAGATCCTCTAAAGTAGGGGTGCGGGAGCAGCAGTCCAGGAAGGGTGCAGGCAAGCTGGGTGCTGCTGGTGGACGCTGGGCTGGCAGACCCCTGTAAGCTGCAGGGATGCTCCATACCCCCTCCAGCTCCTCTCCCAGGGCTGAGCCAGGGCGCACTGGGGCAGGATCCCACGTAGCCGGTGGCACCAGCTGCTTGGCACTGAGCAGGATGGGGCTCAGCCACCCATTCCCCGTCACGGCTCCATCTCCCCTCGGTCCCTCGTGGCCACGTAAAAACGGGGGCACCGGCCTCTGCTACACCCTTCCTCTGAGCGCCAGCGCCACTGTGTGCGGCAAGACGGGATCTGCTGGCAATCCGGGGTCTGCCAGCCTGCGTCGAGCGGGAGCAGAGCTGGATGCCCCCTTCTCAGCCAATGCAGCTGCACTCGGCCGCCGAGAGCTTCTCCACTGTCTGCCATGTGTTCTGTACGTCCATGAAGGAGACGGCCTCGTAGCGAGTGGGCCGGCAGCAGGGGTGGCTGAGGACCCGCTCCTGTGGCCCCGGGGTGATGAGCTGCTGCCGCAGCAGGCTGCCCAGCGTCAGGTCGTAGTTGCTGCGCGCCCGGTGGCAGGACCCGCTGCAGTACTTGAAGAGCACGATCTCGTCCGAGTTGAAGCCCAGGCCCAGGTCTCGCACCTTCACCATCAGGTTGCGGATGTGGCAGTTGCGCCCACGCCCCCCCCGGGAAGGTTTCTTTGCCCCCTTCTTGGCTTTGCCAGTGCCTGGTGGCGAGCGCTCGGCACGCAGCAGCAGGTCCTCTGCTAGCTCTGCAGCACCTGGGCCACTCGTCGTCGCGTTGTCCCCTGCATGCAGAGGGGACAGCACCGTCAGATCCCATCCTGCACCCATCACCCTCCTGGAGCCTGCTGAGCCTGCCTGTTCCTGCTATGACCTGCATACCCCTCCTGACCACCCACCATAGCACTGGCTAGATGCCTGCAGGGTGAGTGGGCACCCGGCCAATCATCTGCTCATACCCAGGGCTCTGCCAGCATCCCCAGCATGAAGCAGAGGGGCCCATGTGTTCAGTGCCACCCCCCCCCCCCCAGCCTGGCCCCAGTGCTGAGGCTCCTCAAAGCAGCTCCCAACCCACCCATGCCCCACACTACCCAGTACGCACCATACAGCTGGCTCCAGGCTGCAGCAAGCGGTACCTCCAGGGCATCCTCCACAGCCGGGCTGGCAGTGGCCATGCTCCGTGGCGTTGGGGCTGCATCCAGCGTCTCGTTGCAGTGTGGGGTTCGCAGGGTGCCTGCAGCCAGCCCAGCCAGCAGTGAGAGGATGGTGAGGAGCCCCCACAGTGTCCCCTCCTGCAACAGAGCACAGCACAGTGGGTTGAGATCCCCACACCATAGACAAGACTCCACGAGCTGGGGATGGAGATGTGTGGTCCTGGCCATCACAGCCAGCCAGGTCTGGCCTCACCTTGGGCTGTGGGTGCGTGGTGGGTCCTGCAGATCTCTGCTCTGGTGGCTCTGCTCGCTGCTCCATGCTGGCTGCAAGTGCAGAGATGGGGTCAGCACCCATGCAGAGGGGACTGGGTGGGCACCAAGCTGGGAGCTGGGAGCTGGAAAACCTCTCCCCTGCCCCTGCTATTTTTGCCATCCTCTCCCTCATCCCCCAGGACCCCCAAACACCTCCTGCACCCCAGGCATGACTCTCCCCCTGTCCCCTCCCCACACAGCCAGGCATCACTACCCCTCGCATCCCTTCCAAAAGATTTGGCAGCTGGGGGAGCCCAGCCTTCTCCCAGCACTTCTCCTCAGGGGGATGCAGCCACCTCCTTGTGCAAGCGGACTGGGATGCCAGGCTGGGCTGTGAGGCAGTGGCTGGGGCTGGGAGCGCCATGCGGGGGGGCCTTTCCCATGGCCCTTCCCTGGGAATGTTTTTCTTGCTCACAGTGGGAGCCTGACCTTGGAAACTCCAAATCCATTAGTGCAGGGTCCTTGGGTGCAGCCACCCCTTGGCCATGCATTGGCTTCCCAGCCTGCTGCCTGCTCTGAGCTGGGACATGCAGCCCCAGAGCAACCCAGGACCGTGATGGGCAGGATGGGCAGGCAGGTCCCATGGGAACACAGTGGGGTGAAGGACAACGTATTGGGCTCCCTGAAGTCATTCACCCCAACACCACTGGCCACACCCGCTGCCCGGACACATACAGGGGAATCCGTTCCCTGCCACGCATAGTCCCAGTAGAGCCGTGAGCATGGTCTCAAGGGATCGATGTCCTCCCAGGAGGTGTAGGGGCAACTCCAGTCTGCAGCCACTTGTTGCGCCTCTTTCCCCAGCTGCTCCCCCGGGGTGCAGGAGGCCCCTGTGCCCTCGGGTCCCAAACCAGGATCCACCAAATGTGGCTCCCAAGGGGTCTTGATCTCTCCTTGGTCTGTGCTGCATCCCCTGCCACCTGAGACCAGACTGAACCCTTGGAGCTCAGCAGCATCCTGCAGCAGGGAGTTCCCCCATCCCTTCTACGGCTTTGCCCTGACATGTCCTAGGTGCTTCCATAGCAAAGCTGGGAGAGAACATGCTGAGGAGAGAGCTCCTGGCTAAAAAATGAAGGGACCCGGCTGAGCACAGCTAAGGCGAGGCAACAAGATCAGTTCTCCCAGTCCCTGCAGCATCGGCAGGGGAGAGTCCCCAACTCCTGATGGCCTCATCTGAAGCCACCTTGCGCTGGCCACACCGTGGCAAGGGGCTTTGATGAACACTGCCAGGCCCATGTGCCTCCTCCGGATCCGTGCACCCCTCAGGATGCGCCCCGGTGCAGGCAGGGCTGGCACCGTGCCCCCTGCCCCGCCAGCCGCCGCAGCCCGGCCAAGCACAGCCCGCACTGCACGTCGCTCCCGTGGCGGCCCGTGGCCCCGCGCCAGCCGCTGCCGCCAGGTCATGGTTTTCCCAGGCCGGCACCCCCGGAGGGGCAGGCGAGGGTCCTCGCTCCCTCGTCCAGCCCCAGCATCCCGGCGGGACGGGACAGCGCAGCCGATGCAGTTCAGGCTTCTCCCGTCCGGCGGCAGCACGGCCCCGGGCTCTGCGGCAGGAGCGCTGCCGGCGGGACGCCGGGTGAGGGCAGCCTCCCCTCGTCCCCGGGAGTCCCGGAGCCGGACTACGGACATGCCCGCCAGTGTCTCCGCAGGCCTGGAGCCCCATCCCCGGAGGCAGCTCCCCGAGCCTCAGGACCGCAGCCCGTGCCAGCCCCGGCTGGGCAGGGGCTGAGCCAAGCTCCGGGCACCCCACGGGGATGCCAGGCCCGCACCCCCACGGCAGCGACCTGGAGTAACACCAGTGCGGGTCACCCCACACCTACCCGTGCAGACCCCGGCGAGGGCCCCGCCGCTCCCGCTGTGCCCAGGGCGCTGGGGAGCGGGTGCCCCGGGGACCGTACCGGGTCCCCAGGAGGGCAGAAGCCCCTCGCGAAGCGCATCCGCACAGGGCCAGAGGGTGCCCCGACCCCGGGGTGAGGGTCTCAGCTCCTGGAGTAGACGCTTGTGAAGGAGGCTGTGCTGGGGTCTCGCTCGCCACTGCTAACTGCGCAAGCCATGCAGCCGCGGGTCCTGCCCGGCAGAGCGGGGCGATGCTCGGAGACCCCCATGGGCACCTGCGAGCACCGGCGGAGAGGGCGGAGACCCGGCATCCCGCCGCGCTGCCCCTGGCAGGAGGAGTGCCGGCGGGCAGAAACGGACTCCGCGTGTGACGCGGGGCTGGCACCCGCCCCGCAAGGCCCTGGGAGGCCGGAGCGGACACGTGGGGCACACGGGTGAGACCAAACTCGACCCCAGCCCAGCGAAAGCAGAGCCGGGGGTGCCGGGCAGTGCCGGCCCAGGGACCACGGTCCCGGGGCTCTCCAGTGCCTCCCGCCCGAGCAGCCGGGGCACAGACCTCGTAGACGTGCCCAAAGGGTCAGTGCGGGAGCCCAGGGCAGAGGCGGGTGAGCCAGTCCCTGCGTCCCCCGGGCACCCGCAGCCGGGTCCCGCCTCTCCCCACCCGGGCAGGGAGTTCGCGTTCCAGCCGCGGCTCCGAGCGCGCCCGACTGCCGGGCCGGGCTCTGCAACCCAGGACCCTCCTGGTGGGGACCTGCCCGGGAACGGCCCGAGCCCCCTCGCCACCCCGCGGGTATTGCCGGGCGGCGAGCGGTGAAGCGGGACCCTCCCGCCGCCCCGTTGCCCTCGCAGCCCCGGTACGAGCTAACGCCGAGGCCCGGCGCCGCCGGCAGGCTGGGACGGACGCTGCCGCCCGCCTCCCCGGCCCGCACTCACCGTGCCCGCGGCGGGGACCATCCCCCGGGCCGCCGCCGCCCCGCATCGCCTCCGCTCCCCGCCGCCCCCCGCCGCCCGCCGCCGCCGCGCCGGGGCGGGGCGCGGGCGGGGGCCGGCGCTGCCCCACAGGCACCGGCTCCCGCCGCTGCTCCCGGTGCCGCTCCCGCTGCGCCTCGGGGTGCGGGTCCCGGTCCCGGTGCGCCTCGGGGTGCGGTGCCGGTGCCGGCGGGCGGGCGCGCAGTGCGGAGCAACGGCGGCTCCATCCCTCTCCCGCCGCCGGTGTCAAATTCCAGCCACCGTCACCTGACCGGCGGGGGGGGGGGGAGGCGACGGTACCGGGACGCCGATCTGCGCCGGCACCAGGATCCCGACCGGCACCCCGACCCGCACAAGCTACGGGACTGCTCCGGGACCAGGATGGCACGGAGACCCCGCCAGCAGTAGGAGCCGCAGCTCGACCCGCATCAGCACCGGCTCCACGCCGGCACCCGCGCCGCAGTCGAGCTCTTGCCGAGACTCGCACCCGGCTGGGAACGGCACCGGGACCCCGGCGGCACCCGATCCCCGCTACCACCACCTGCTCGCCGGCCGGCCTCCAGGCAGGCGGACGGGCAGACGGACACGCAGCCTGGACGGACGGACAGCCCGTGAGAGGGGCTCCCTGCCCCGACAGCCCGGTCCCAGCCCTGGCAGCACGGACACCCCCGGGGACGAGTCCAACCCTCCCCGGAGAGCTCCAGGAGCAGAACCCCACGGGGCTTCGGTGGGCAGAGCTCCACAGGGTCCTCCTGCACACAGCCGAGGGGACGGGTTGGGGTGTCCCTGGCAGCGGCGGGGCTGGCGGGCGTCCCACGCACCCCGAGCCGCCGCGGGCCACCGGTGTGCCTGGCGCTCACGTCCGGCCTCGCCGGAGGAGGAGCCCGGCCTCCCTGCCCGGCCTCTCAGCCCGCCCGCGCCCCGCGGCCACGGCCCACGGGCTCCCCGCGGCCAGGTCCCTCCTTACCTCCGCCGTGTCCCTGCCTCCCTCCGCCGGGGCCGCCGCAGGCCCCGGGGACATGGGGGCCGGCTGGCGAGCCGAGCCGAGCCCGTGCGAGTCCTTACGTCACTGCCCAGGGCCCTCCACGTCCATGCCGGGGCTCTCGAGTGCTCCTTGCAAACGTGCCAAATCCCAGGGCCGCCTCCGCTCGGCCCCGCTCCACACGTGCTCCCCTGGACGGACGCGGCCGCCGGGGAGCAGCCCGGCCCGGGCCAGCCCCCCGCACCCCGCTCCGGGGACAGCCCCCATGGTCCGGCGGGGTCGGGGAGCGCGGGGCCGAGGTGCGCGCCCCGGGGTGCCGCCGGCAGCGCTCGGCGAACCGCCCCGGGCTTATGTAACTCCCGAGGCTGGAGCCGGGCCAGCGGCTCGGTCCCTGGCGGTGCCTTGTCCGCACGACGGCTCCGAGGAGCCCGTGGGGTCTGTCCCGGGGCACGGAGCCCCGGCCCCGCGGTCCTGCTGCGCCTGCCTCGTCTCGTCTCATCCCGTCGGATTATCCGGTGCGGGGATGGCAACTCCCGCGTCCCTCCCGCGGCATCACCTGCCAAGGAATGTGCTGGCACGGGAGGAACCTTCTAAGCTGTCCCCGTCACCACTGGCAGAGCCCGGGGAGGTGGCCCGGGGACCCCCTACCACTGGCACAGGCAGCTCGGACGAGCCTGTGGGCACGGGTGGCTTCATGTGCGCAACGGGACTGTGTGGATGGGCTGTGTGATGTGGCCTGAGGCTGCTCCCATCTATGATGCCCGCACTGGAGCTGGCAGACATGGTGCCCTGGAGGCCAGCAGAGGTTTAGAGGCTCAGGGGCATCCCTGTGGTGGGGAATCAGCCAGGGGCAGGGAACAGGATCCTCAGCTTTGCAGGGCTGCAGACTAATGGAGCTGCCTACCTGGAAAGTTTCCACGTGAGTGGCATGTCCTGCTCCGGGCTGCCTGACTGTCACCACGGGACTGGGACCTGCTGCCCAGTGGCAGCGAGTGTTATCTCCCTCACGGACAACCCGAACACAGCCCCAGGTACTGCCTCACCCCAGGGGTTACCCTTTTTCCCCCCACCTTCCCTGTGGGTTGGGCTGGTCCTTGTGTTCCCAAGGCACAGCCCGGACCTGCTATGCACATAATGCTGTGTGGGGCATGGCGCAGGAGAATGTCCAGAGCATCCCCATACAGGTGAGTCCATGGTCCTGTGAAAGGGGTGACTGTGCATAGCCAGGCCTCTGTCTTCTTCCAGTTGTGCCCCCTTCATGGCTGCTACACCAGACAACCTAGGGGTCCTGCCCCTAGCCCTTGTCCTGGGAGATGTGACCCTGCTGCTGCCATCAGCTCCACTGATGTCCTGCCTGCCAGCTGCACCTCCTCCCTGTCCCACCGAGATCATGGTGGCAGGAGGTGGCACATCCCAGCTCTATGCCTGAATCTGGGCATTGCTCTCCCCTTTGGCTCCCGTCAGTATTGGCTCTGCCCTGGGGAATGCTGAGTGTGTGCTGGGCCCCACAGTTTTGGGTTGCCCGGCAGGGTCCCCAGCCCCACAGGTCTCCAGACAGATGGGTGATGTGTTCCCTGGCTGCTGCTGCCAGCGGCTGCCTTGATGCTTCCTAAGGTACTGCCTGTAATCAGCCTGTGCTCCTGTACCCCCAGGGCAGGGGTGTCCGTTGTCCGGTTTGGAATGAGCCTTGCAGGGGCCCAAGGCAGGGCCATGGCTTCCTGTGGTGTCTGTCCCTGAAGGTGCCACCCTTGCATGATGGGTTGGGGATGATGCGATCCAGGCAGATGGCAGGACTGAGCATGACGTGGCTGCTGCTTTGCCAGTGTGAAGCCATGGCTGGATGCGACAAAACCCATGTGGGAGAGCTGTGAAGCAGATGGACTGACGCTGCACTGTCCCCGTCTCAGCAGTGATGCGGCTCCTTGGGAGACACCGCTCCACAGCAAGTGTCCTTGTCTCTGCTGACCTGTCCCCATGTGCCCTGGTACCAGGCTCTGTGTTCTCCCCTCCACAGTCCTCCCAAGGCCAGGCCTGATGGCAGCAGTGGCCTTTGCTCTTTAAGGGCTGGGAAGAGAGGAGGGCAGGAAGGAGGCTTTGAGCAGCTCCAGCATCTCCTTTCCAGGAGGGATCTGGAACTCGCAGCCACACACTGGGGAAGGTTGGGGATTGCCTCTGCAGTGTTCCATGAGTGCTGGCAGGACCCCCTTGTGTTTAGGAGGTGGCAGGGCTGTCACACTGGTCACTCACCTGGAAGCAGCCACCCTTGTCCCACATGAACTGTCCCTGCAGCACCGCCGGGACTTGCCACAGTGGTTACATTCCTCCCGCTGGGACCCGGCAGGTGTTGGAGCCGCTCACAGCCTCGGCCTTTGGCTTCCTAAACTGCTTCCTTCCTGGACGCTGTGGTGAGAAGGTCACTTGGCAGGGCCGCACCCAGCCCGAGTGCTGCCGTGACCCGCAGCAGGAAGCCACCGCGCTGCAGGGACTCCCTGAGAGCAGCAGTGGCAGGCAGCCTGGGCTGGGAATGACCACCCCTCACTCCTCTGCTCCTCAGCATGACATGGACCCAATGCACTAACCCCGATCCCACCCCTCAGGTGGGGAGCACAGCCCCCTCCTGTTCCCAGCACCAGCTCAGTGGCATTGGGGTCACTGTGCTGGAGGAGTCAGCAGTGAAATCAGGCTGGGGACAGCCCTAGCAGGGGAACCCCTCCGCCACTCCTAAACAAAGGCCAAAGGCAGCAGAAGAAAGAGGCCAGCCAAGCTTGTTTGATAGCTTTATTGCTTCTGTGATATGACTGAACTGATGTGACATAAGCCGGCGTGGAGGAGCCTACACGACTCTTGCCCTCCCTGCCTGGAGGGGAAATTAAAAAAACCTGCAGAAACTAAACCTAATTTTAAAAACTCATGGAGTTCTCACATCTCAGCTTGGTGCAGCACCGGCTTTGGAGCAAGTCCCTGTGAGGGTAACAAGGAGCCGTGCCTGGAGTGGCTGGGTGCTGGCCTGTGTCACCCACACTGAAGGACACGTCTCTAATACTGTGTGTGATGCACTGCTTGGACTGGTGGCACGTACCGTGCTGGTGGAGCTCAGCGTGGAAGTCCCTGTCCATCCCAGGTGCTGCGTGTCCGTTTGGTACAGGCAGCCCTGTCCCTGCACCTTCCCCCTCTCCCAAGCAGCTTGGCACGGCAGGGCAGGGCAGGGCCTCCCCACTGCTCCCACCCAGGAAAAGGAGACTCTGGAAGCTCATGGATGCTGGGCTGAGGGATGCTGAGTACGGAGGATCCCCTACTGCCTCCTGCTCCCTAGCCGTGGTGCCTCCGTTTGGCATGTGTGAGCTTGAGGTCACAGCACGGAGGGAGCCCTACACCAAGGTGGTGGGCACTGGGGAGGGCTGCAGGGGACAGTCGCATGAGCAGCCCGTGCTCATGTTGCGGCCAGCACAGCAGCAGCTCTCTTGCAGCCCCTGTCCCCCAAGAGCAGCACATGCTGGCTGGCCTGCAGCTCCCCACACTTGCTCTCTGCACCATCTGCAGCGACACACTGCTGCAGGAGCTGGCTCCCTGACCTCCCTGCGCTTCTCCAGCATCTCTCCAGGCAGGTTCCCTGCCACCCGAGTGGCCTTTCTGCACCACAGCACGTCAGAGGCACCAGGCAACCCCGCTCTATATTTAGGCTGTGGAGAATTCCCCTGGGCTCTCCCTTCCGAGCTGAAAAGGTGAGTCACTGCGAGGGAGAGGCCAAGACTCGCATCCGTCCCACTGACCCTGCTCTGACCCGTGCACCGCTCCGAGCTGGCAGGACTGCCGCGTTTCGGAGCGCAGGAGGTGGCTGCAGGTGCACGCGGGGAGGCAGCCAGAGGAACAGCATCCAGGAGTGAAACCTGGCGCTGAGCACTGCTCCTGGGGTGCTGCAGCACGCACACCCCATCACCCAGACACAGGGCTGCTCCGCAGGGGTGCTTGCCCACCAGTGTGAAAGCGGACAGTGACTTAGAGAGGAGCCTTGGTGCCCCAAACAACCCCACATGCTCTCTTTCCTTTTCTTTCTCACCCCGGTCACCCTGGGCCATGCTCTCTCCTTGGACCTGGAGCCAGTGAGCTGGAAGACAAAGGTGTCCCATAGCTTTGTAAGTGCTCAATAAAACATGTAATTGTATCATTGCCATCACAAACCTCCATGGGGTGCTTCCCCCAGGGGGCAGAGTGCTGCCCACCACAGGCCTTTCGCTCCCCTCCTCCTCCTGGCTGGATCCATCGGCTCTGGCAGCTCACTGTAGCATATGGAGGTGGTCCATCACTGCCCAGCGCTCTCACAGCAGCTGTTAAAGACCCAGTTCAAGCACCAAGCAGAGAGTGGGTGCCCACCCTTCCCCAGCCACAACCTCAGCCAGGTCCATCCTAGGCAGCCCCTGGCAGGGACTCTATGGACAGTGGTCCCAGGTTCAGGCTGACATGCAGGAACTGAGAAGGGAGTTTTGCCTGGCAAGAGCCATGGAAACCCAGTCCCTTGAGCTCCTGCAGCAGGAAAATCAAATCGGGGGAAAATACTCAAAGGAATATTTGCCACAGCATATACTCAAAAACCCGCTGGAAACTCCAGCTCTTAATGCTGGAAACCTCAAAGAGCATCCTGGGAAGAGGCATCCACAAAGGAGAGCAGGGATCAGCTGGCTGGGAGGCCAGAAGGCCACAGGAAAGGACATGGGATGGGGAAAGAGAAGGAAGCATGTGTCTTCAATGGCCTGGAAGAGGCAGGATCTTTGAGCTGCTCCCAAACTACAAGGCAAGCAGCAGCCACAACCAGCAGCTGGACAGAACTTGCCCATGCGCAAGCTCCTTCGCTACAGGAGCACAATGGAGGAGAGGCTCCTGAGGGGCACATTCATGCTGGTCTGTGGGCAGCACCCAGCACCATGTCCTGAAAGCTGCCTCTGCCTCCAACCATTCCATATAGTTTGCTCCTCAGCCCCTCCTGCGCATCCCCTCTGGGGTCTCAGCCAAAGAGCCACAGGTCCCTGCAAGTCAGTGGGAACAGAGGCAGCACAGGGAACTATGCGAGCCCTGCTCTGAGCATCCCTTGCCCATGTTAGTACCATGCTCTCCCTTCAGCTCAGAGCAAGGCAGACTGCAATCCTTGGGCTATGCCAGATGCAGCTCCAGGACCATGAGCCTGGCCAGCACTCTTGGGGCTCCCCTCACCATTGACCCAGCACTAGTGGCTGCACACTGGTGCCTCAGCACACAGGGACTTGGCTCAGGATCATGCCCCTGGGTGCAATCCAGTCTGCTCCAGGCTAGAAGAGCACAGGAGCCAATTTCCACCTGTAACCATTCCCCTGGCAATCCCTCTTCTGCCCACTCTCTCCATGCGGATTAGACCACCCCGCTGTCCCTGCACTTGGCCACGTTGCTCAGTTTATTCCAGCTCCTTTGAAATAAGTATACAAATCAAATGTGCAAATACTGCATCTCGGGACCAAGACGGCAAAGGAAGGGATGTGCTCCTGAGAGCAGGAGGAGCAGCAGTGCTAGATCAGCACGGGAGGAGCTTGGAAATGAAGTGAGCAGGGGCCAAGCAGAGGGTGAGGGTTCCTAGCAGGCTCTCACCCGTGCCAGCAGGCTCCATCATCACTGAGGTCACACGTCACTTAAACAGGGAACATGATCAAGTCTGGAAAGTAAAATGAACTTCTTCAGCAGCCTGCTCTCAAGCTGTAAAGCTGCAGATCTCTGTGCAAGATCTGACCTCCTTCCAAAGAATAAATTACTCCTCTCCCACACAAAAATAAAGCAAGATGCTGTCCAGAAACGGTGACACCAATCTGTATGGACTCCACAGGGGCCCTGCACAGCAGGCATAAACCAAGAGGCCTGAAAGCCTTGAGCACAACAAGGCAGGCTCCTCAGCGCCGTGACAAGCAGGAAGGTGGGGAGGGTCTGAGGCAGGCAGAGAAAGCCATCAGCTCCCGGCTCCACCTTGGGGTCAGAGCAGAGGCAGAGCAAATGGCTATGGAAAACGCAGCCAAGTAAGTGGCTGCTGCTGCTGCCTCTATACAGGAAGCAAGGAAAAGTGCAGAAAAACAAACCCATGCTCATCTCCATCTAGAAGCTCCACGTGGAGGATGAGGGAAAGCTAATACTCTCCCTCTGAGTTATAGCAGCACCAACGACACCGAAGGTTTAGATGGATTTGTTTTCCTGGGGAAAGGTCTGAGGCCAGTGACAACGCAGATGGAGCATGAAGAGGCCGGGTGTTTCACAGGGCTGTGCACAAGCAGTCTTTGCCTTGCACCTTGGTATTTCTCATATGATTCCAGCAGTTTCTTTTAAAAAATAATACTTTGTACATTCAGGCATCGCTGCCTCGGGGCAGCATCGCCTCCCATTTGGCACAAATCGTTTTATTCACAAACCTGTCTTCTCTCTCCTGAGTCTCTCCTGTTTAGTTCAGGACACAGAAGATCTGTCTGTGATGCAGAGTTCATGAACTGCCCACTCAGCCCCTTGCCCACCTCCTGCCAGCTCTAGGCCTGGAGGCAGCAGATGTAACCCTCACGCAGACTGGCAATGTGAGAGGGTCTTCCCAGAGCACCTGGGCAACTCTGGGTGTCTTCAGTGAGGTGGGATTCTTACGGGGGGCTGCCAGTGCCTGCATCTAGAGCTGCAGCGTGCATCTTCGTCTCCTCCCTTGGAGGCAGTGGCTGAAGCCACTCAGATCCCACTGGTTAGGTCAGTGATGACTCGGGCTTTCACCAGCTTCCTCAGGAACTCCTTCTCCCGCTGGATGTTGTGTGTCCAGGACTGGAAGGAAATGGGAGAGATAGGAGGTCAGCAGCTATCCTGCCCAAGGATGCTCCTGTCCACCACACTGTGGCAGACTCCAGCTAGGGCAGGGCTGTGGCTTTGGCCGAGGAGACAGACCCTGCTGCAGACCAGAAGAACCCTTGCAGAACAAGTGCCTTCTCTTACCTAACACCGATACAGCCAGCAGGGTCAGACCTGGGGCAGGAGGTCTCCCCATGGGCTGACTGAAGCTTTTCTGGCATGGTGAGACGTGAAAAATCCAGGTACCTTGGGCACATGTAGCTGGTTACAGTGCCCTCCCAAGCCACTGCACCAAGAGTCCAACAGCGCAGCATTAAAGGTGATGTATATTGGAAAGCAGAGCTTGCAGAGAGCACCATGGCAGGACATGCTGTACTCACATACAGTTCCCTGCCAGGGGAATACATAGGGCAGCTGAAAAGCTCCAAGACCACCCCCATCAAGGCCAGCTCTTGCCTCTGCTAGCCCTATGAAGAGGAAACCACGTGTTAAAGGTTACACTAACACAGCATGAAGGGTGAAATGGTCAAAACTCCCAGGCAGGCATTTCAAAGCAATGATGGCTATAGCTAGTGTCAGCCCACCCAGATGTGTTGTCTGCAGCTGGCTATAGCCGTGATCACAGCATCTGCCATCAACCTCTGCACTGGTATTATTAAAGCACTTAATGAAGGCAGTAAGTGGTTTGTCTTCCTGGGGAGACCAAGGCACAGCAGGGAAAAGCAACTTTCCCCAAAGCCTCCCAACAGGACAAGAATCCCAGTAAATGAACTCAGGTCTCCAGCACAGTGCTCTAGACAGCAGGTAAGCTGAGCTCTAAATATGATCTGGACCATGATAAAATCACTCGGCAGGAGCCTCTCTGAAATAGCTTAAAATCAACAAAGCACCAGCCCAACAAGCCCTCTGAGGGCACTTTGTCATAGGCATCCAAACCTGGTTCATCCATTGCAAAATGATGGGCATCTGCCTGCAAAGCACTGGCTGTGTCCATTTAACACAACGTGCATGTTCTTCTCCTGTCATCTGCTGTGTAGCTCTGACAGCCCTGGTCACGGCATGCTACCAAGAGGTCCAAGGGACCGAAGGTCCCTTTCTAGATCTCCAGCACATTTTGCAAATACCTCTCTTGCTGCTCCTGTGCATTTAGAAGCCAATTCCATCTCCTCAGTGCAAACGAATGAACAGTTCAAGCTGCTACAGAAAGTTCAGGTAGGTCTTTTCTTGGAACCTGTGCTCAAAAAAAGTCCGTTTCCAATGGCAGTTACCTGAATGCTGCAAAGGGTGCACTAGCACCAGGAACAACAAGGTCACACGTGGTAAAACTGTGCTGGTGTTCTTTGGTACTCTGAAAATGCAGAAGACCCCATCTCTAAACTGAAAAGACACTGCCAGAAACAACTCAGTGTTTGGCTTCTCCTTGCATAAGAGCAGAACCTGAAAACTGGCACTGGGAAGAAAGCTGGCTCTTAAAAGGAAAAAAGCACGAATTTCAGAAAGCAGCAGTGTGAGCGACGGTGGTGCAGAGCAGAGGGAGCTAGGAGAGCAGGACTGTGTGTGCCTGTCACTTGGAGCCAGAGAGCCAGGATCCCTCAGCATGCTGGAAACAGTCCCACATGTGGCATGTCAGCTGGGGGTCCTGGGCCTGGCCCCTGCCATGCAGCAGTGTCTCATCTGGCACCACTGCCCCTTGCTCAGAACGCACAGCACTGTCAGAGGCAGCCAAGTGTGTGTGCTGCTGGCAACAGGCAGTGAGCAGCTGTCTGTGGGCACAGAGGCCACGCTGGGAACACCAGGTCTCAATGCATTCACTTGCATCTGGCTGGGCTTGTTGTTCAAAGCCTATCTGGAGCACCAGGGAGCCTGATGTGCCTGATACATCACAGCACAATCTGATTCATCCTTCATGTCTTTCACCCTCATCAAATGGTATGAGAAGCCAACTGGTTTCACCCAGGACAACCTGCTCGTGTCCCTTGGTACAGATGGTAACTGGGGAAGCAGCCACTCAAACTATGTAAAACATCACCTCAGACCACATGCAAGTGCCTTATCTGATGGCAAGAGGAAATCTTTGTGAAAGGTACAAGTGGAACAGGAATTTAAGTACAGGAGGTGGATAATAAAACTTCGGGTGATACAATTGCAGTCTCTCACATGACAGCTAGATCTGGCTCCAGCACTGACTGCAAGGCTGCTGGCAAGACCTATAAACCTCTGGGTGCTCAGTATCTAGGCTGCTCTATACCCTGGGCACTGCCAAAACCTCCTCTTTCTAAGCAGAAAGCCACATGTAAGGGAATTCGGCCTCCCACTTGATCCCTGGATCTTAGTGGTATCTGCAACAGTACTCTCAAGTGTTTTGTGGTTGAATGTAGGACCACAGAGAAAGAGGACTCCCCAGTGAGGATGGGCTTTTGTCCCTCTCAGAGAGCATTAGCAGGGCTCTGGATGCGGTACTGCTCTCCCCACGCCTGACAGCATTGCGGGCAGGAGGGACGAGGCATGTCTTCAACACCAGCTCCGGTTACTGATTACAGGAGAGGGACTCACCCCACTGACAGAGCTAATCAGGCAAAGGAAGCTGCATTCCAGCAGCAGCAGCAGTGGGGAGAAGAGCCAGAGCAGATATCTCAAAGCTGCTGGAGAGAGGCAGGCACATCACTCCCACTGCCCAGGCAGGGGAAAGGCAACAAAATACACCCTAAACCCTCCTGGTTTTAGGGTATATACACCCTAAATATCACCCAGCTGCAGGGTTTATGAAAAGCCAGGCCTTGTCAGGCTCAGGTTTGCTTTGGGCCAGGATCACATCATGGCTGTTGTAAGGGGAAGTTCTCTTGCAACCCCTCACTGGGTAAGCTGAGGCGCTTTGTGTAACTAAGCTTGCAGGCACATTGTCCTGGAAATTTTTCAGCTGATGCTGTGTCCTGAGCTGCAACAGGATGATAAGAAAGAGGCAATGCTCTGGCAAACCATGTCCCCAAGGACAGGGCTCTCCTGTCAGGGTGCTCATTTTAACATTTTATGCAGAGAATTATGAGCAGGATCCATGCCTGCAGAGCGAATAACTGAACTGGCTGCAATGCTGGTGGTTTATTCCTGCCTCTACTGCAAAGAAGCCTTTTCCTGCCCTCAAATGCTGGATGCGCTTTGGCTGCGCTGGCAAGATGCTCACTGCCCCTCCTCACTGCTTTGACCCTCTTTTCCCATGCACACCAAGTTACTGCCTCATTTCCTATTCCTGTAAGCAGGATTGTTCATGTTCACAAACCTCCTGTCCCAAGTCCTGAAGCTGCACCTCAGCATCACAAGCTGAAGGATCCAGCTCTTGTGAATCTGCACCTCTAGACAGCGACGGAGCAGCCTGGTGTATTTAATGCCACCTCTACCTTCTTGTGCCCCTACACTGCTTGCATTGAACTTCCACTTGTGCACACAAACGGGCTGCTTGTTTAAGCCAGAGTAATGAACTTCTCAGAGTTCCACCAGGAATGTCCCAGGAGGCTGCAGAGCCTTTCTTGTTCTTTGGGGATCAGGCTGGGATTTCATTCGCTTTGGGTCTCCCTCTGAGTAGTGGGTGTTTATTCTTTTCAGCAGTGAGAGGCGCATCAGGAAGAGAGCTGCTCTGCAAGCACATGCACTGGTACGGCTGTCCACCCCAGAGAGGTGACAGTGAGTCTGATCATTTGGTCACAGTTGTTAGATCAAAATTTATCATCAGCTAAAGCCACCTTTCAGGGTTATGCAAATGCAGCAGCACCAAACCACCTGGCCCTTTCTTCTTGATGATTCCATGAGGAAGCACAAAACATCCTCTGTCCCTTCAAGAGAAGCTGAGTATTTTAAGAAAATGTTTCAGAGACTAACCCAGGAGGAAAGTAAGCTCCCCATCTGCAATCAATTACAACTTGAGGGAATGCCTCAGCTTCAGACCACATTAGTCTTATCAAGTATATTGCAATACCTTAAAATACAGGAAGATTAAATCAGAGCGAGTCAATGAGGAATGCATTCAGGAAAAGCAGCAAGTTGTAAAGTGGGAGGTTTCTCAGTTCCATTACACCCCCCTGCATTTCTCCCCAAAACATGCACAGAAACCGCAGCAGCAGCAAGAAGTGCTACTTCCCTGGTGTGAGTTTCCAGTCTCCACCAGCACTAATTTGCCTCTGACTTTAACCCTCACTGCCTTGTCTCCAGAGCAACTTATTCTTCACAATTCTGCCTAGTCCATGCCCTTGCTCTGGTCCTGCCATGGTGACCACACTCACTGGGTGTTTCATGGCCACCCCTGAGCTGCAGCTTCATCTCCCTGTGCACATCCCCTTGTTCAGGACCTGTTGCCCCCTCCTCTCTCAGTCCATCTGCTGGGACATGGCAGCATCCCGCAGACTGCCCTGTCCCACCTGCACCCCCTAGGAAATAACACTGCAACAAAAGGGAGGGCTGAGCAGCCTCATCTTTTTGTGTTCAAGAGACTGACTCACAGCTCCTTTACGTCCAGGTAGCCTTAGACCAACTTGAAATTTTAAACAGCTCTTAGCTCCTGCTTATTCTTAATACATACAGAGAGAGCAACTCTATCTCTTCTTTCTATCAAGCTAAACAAGCCACATCTTCTTCCTTCTACCAAAACAGGCTGTTCAATTCCCCTATGAAAACTGGGAAATTTCCCAGAAGTGTAGTAGCTCCCTCTGTCCCTATTTACTCCAAGTTTACTTTTTGTGAACGAGGAAAAAAGGCTCACCATTGCCTCCTGCAGAGCCAATTCTCTCTCACCAAGAAATCCCTTCTTCTGGTCTTTGCAGATCTGTATTTGCCTTTTCTTCATAGTAACAGCATCTCATCCTGAATTACCTTGTGATTTATTTGTGCCTATCTAAGCACTTTCCTCCTCTGCCATTGCCAAAGAATGCTTCCCCAGTTTAGAGTCAAAATTTCTGGTACTGCACCAAACAGCATGACCTTCCATTCAT